TCTGTGAATTATCTGGTGAATTAATTATGAATCAATTATCTGATGAACGTGACATGCTCTTGCTCTCTGTAAATAAAGCAAAGCCACTTCCTCGTCCGACATTAAACAGAGCCCGACAGAGGAGGGAGGGGCGGGGGGGCTCTTGCTGTGCAGCGCTTCAAGAGCTGACCTGCGTCTGACCTCAAAGTGCACAAGCGACCAACTTGAGCGTTGGATGTGATTTTGAAGCTGAAATCTTGTTCGGTGTGAACGCAGCATTAGAAACTTAGGACCTGAATTTTAATAATTAAGTGGACACTCTTATTTTACTGAGGCAAGCAGATGTCTCTCCTTTTAATTAGATGCAAGATAATTAAACTAAAACACTCCCTTTTTCTTTGTCCTGAAGTAAAGTTTTCCCTCCAAAACAGATTTGATTTGTTAAAAAACTTTTCCTGTATAAGGTGTAACATTTTTATAGGCCAACTAAAACCTTGACTCCGCCCATAACAGAGGTTTTAAAAGTTAGTGCAGCTCCCGGCAGAGAGAAGAAGACAGAGAAAGAGAGTTTTTCAACATCAGAAGCCAGACACAGCTTTCCAGAAGCCCAGCAGAGGCCCTGCCTGCCAGCCCCTCCCCATGGGCTGGGCAGGATGGTGGCCCTTCTGCATCTCCTGCTGGGTTGACGAACAGCCAACGTTTAATATCGACTCTACATCTGAGTTTGATTTTATAGAAGCTAAATAAGCTAATTGTAACTCATGCGTCATTTTAGTTCATTTTCTCTACAAAGTTGAAATCAAATTAAGAAGTCTTGCAGCCGCCTAAGAGGACCGGACCACGTTGACCCCCTTCACTGACCATGGGACCAGTTGAGTTTTACAGGCAGACCGCCTGACATCCAGTTTGCATGAAGAGCCTCCCTGGGAACGACCCCCAGAGATGACCTTCAATTGCTGACTTCCCTCCTGGTACCCACACGGCGGAGCAAAAGGGTAAAAGTGAACATTTGTTCTGGTGACAAACAGGTGCTCAGACGTAATTTGATTCTTATCTTTGTATGAGATTTGATAAACTAAACGATTTTTCTCTTCCATTTAACTAAGACCCTTAGTTAAAAAACTAGCTAAAAGCAAAACTCACCTCATCTCATTCCAAGCCTCAAACTCACTCTCAGTGTTTATTTTATTTGTTTGTTTGTTAGTTTATTCACTTATGATTGCAAACTCTGTCAGTTTTACTTGGTTCAACATGTCATCACTCATTACTCACCATAGCTGGAAATACATTTAATTTGTAAATAAATGGCCCGTGGAGAACGTGCCAACATAAGCTAATGTCACTTTTGTGTTTTGATAAAGTATTATTGGTTCTGATAAGACAAAGAACTCATCAAATGATTTTGGGTGCATTTATTGTGAGACTGATTACAACAAAGTTACAGGTTTTTCTCTCTTTCCTGGGTTAATTTTTGATCAAATTAAGAGCGTGGTGCCTCGAGGTAAGATAATTTGCTCATTTAAATAATTCCCAAATTATCCATTTTAGAATATACCCAAAACCCCTACACAAAGTTTAAAGGAGTCAGCAACAGTTGGGACTTTACATGTCTGATTTGACTTTTGATATAACTTGTGGTTTTTACACAATCACAGTTGAAGTTGTATTATTTTTACAGACTTGATATAATGTTCAGCTGACAGATGATGTCACCCTCCAGCTTTGGAAAAGTCTACAATTTTCTTTTGAATCAAACTGAAATGACTACATGTAAATTATGCATCAAAATGTGGGCAGTTTTGTCTCTTACTGCTACAGTATAGGACTTATGATTTTCTCTCAAATCCCCGCAGAATGCAAAAAGTCCTCAGCTCAGCTTCTACTGACTCCAGCTTTATTTTAGCTCAAAATGTCATCTTCAAAACTGAAAGTGAAGTCTCTTTTTAACTTGTCCTATCTCCTACATAAAACACCATAGACACGTAATATCTGACATGCATGATCGTCAGCGTCTTCTACCACTCAGGTTCAAGAATTTTTAGTATCCGATTCATTGTTTTCACATTGGGCCTCATGCAAGAACATGTTCGTATTCTTATCCTAAATTTCTCTTACTTTTGTTCGTACAAAGGGTTCGTACGAACATGTCACGTCAGATT